GACCCTGCAAGCCCAGCCGGGGGAGCTCTCACCAGGGGCCCCGGGGCCCCAGCCAGCCGAGGACACCACAGGCGGGGCCCCCAAGCTCCAACCTCCTCTACCTCCAGATCCCCCAGAGCGAAACAAGTGCCCAAGCCTGAACTGGGGCAAGGAGGAGTCTGGGATGTGGGAACCCTTGCCTCTGTCCTCCCTGGACCCGGCCCCCAGCAAAAACCCCAGCTCGCCAGAGCGGAAGGCCACCTTCCCGGAGCAGGAACTGCAGCAGCTGGAAATAGGTACGGCCTCTGGGTCCCCAGGCTTCTTCCTCTTTCCAGCTGGCCTGAGTTCTCTTCCAGCCCCTTCCCCATGGATCCGCCCCTGCAGTCTGTGCAGGAAGACCCCTGGCCGCACAGCCGGGCCCCTCCCAGTCTTTCACAGCCTCCTTCTGCTTCGTTTTGCAGAATTATTTCTGAACAGCCTGTCCCAGCCATTTTCTCTGGAGGAACAGGAGCAAATCCTCTCGTGCCTCAGCGTCGACAGCCTCTCCCTGTCAGATGACAGTGAAAAGGTGAGTCGGCCGTGAGCCGGGCACCAGGGCACAGAGACGTGGCTTCATGTCCAGCTGGTGAATGGGCTGTGTGCGAGTAGTGGGTAAAGAAAGGGAGAGGGATGGGGTCACCCCTTCCTGCTGGGAGGGGTCTTCACTGGAGCAGGGGGCCTTGGTTTCTCAGAGTGAGACACTCCATCTCCGGCCAGCGCTGCCGGACATTAGGGAATGGTTTGGCCACTGGGGATGGTGGGGAAGGAGGCTTGGGTCTTGGTCCCCATAGAAAAAGTCCTCACCCTCTTCCAGCTCAGGGGCCCCTCATGACCTCAGCCTTCTACTGAGCCCCAAAAGTGCCCAGTGGAGCCATACACCAACCTAGAACAAGAGCAGTTCCTCACTGCAGGGGCGGGCCCGGGTCCCCTTTGCCCCAAGCAGACCAAGGCCAGAGATGGTTCCCTGAGCCCAGCACCCTGAGTCTGTGCCCCCCCCCCCTTGTTGTTTCAGAACCCGTCAAAGGCCTCTCAGAGCTCACGGGACACCCTGAGTTCCGGCGTGCACTCGTGGGGCAGCCAGGCCGAGGCTCGCAGCTCCAGCTGGAACATGGTGCTGGCCCGGGGGCGGCCCACGGACACGCCAAGCTATTTCAATGGTACAGCACCCACCTGCTCAGCAGCCCCCAGCACCTGACCCACCTGGGACTAGGGAGCCTGAGGGCTTTGTCTCCCTTCCTCTGGCTCATGGCGAAGTGAGAGGAAGGCTCCTGGCACCCAGAACTTGAAGTACTTGGCCATTAAGTCAGTTTAGAGCAAAGGCCCTGCTCTCCCTTTCCTGCTGGGGCAGAGGGACTGTTGCCCCTGGTGGGCTGTGGATAGAGCTCGGAAGTCAAGAGTCAAGAGCCTTGGCCTAGAATCAAGAAACTGAGCAATGAATGTCTCTGAACAAGGTTGCTGGGATCCTCCACTGGGATCTGAAGTCAGAATTGCAGAGAGAAATTACAGAACTTAATTTTCAGGCTTGGTTGCATAAGTTATGTTGTGATTTCAATACAACAAGGGTTTCATCAGCTTACAGTCCGGGGCCCTCGCCAGGGCCAGTGTGACTCATGGTTATCAAGCCTGCACCGCCTGGCCAGAGGCCTCTTCAGCTCAGGGAACAGTACAATCTAAGATGCCTGCAGTCTAACTTAGGGATCTTTGTTTCCAGTTCCTTTCTGCTTTGTGTGCGCGCTGGAGTACTACTTCCCCATGGAAGCCACCCTTAGCTCTTTGCTCGGTGCAGGGCAAACTGATATTGACAGAAAATGGCCAGGAAGAAAATGGCCTAGCAAGTGTATAACCCTAGGGCCACTCCAGACTAAATATCATCCTACGCAGCTTCCTCATAGCCAGCCTGCTTCCCTATGCCTAGGGCTCCTCAGGGAGCCAGCAGTCACTTTCCTGACGGTCACCTTGCTTGCATTCTAGGTGTGAAAGTCCAAATACAGTCTCTCAATGGTGAACACCTGCACATCCGGGAGTTCCACCGGGTCAAGGTGGGAGACATTGCGACTGGCATCAGCAGCCAGGTAAGGGGCAGGTACACGCTCAGGGGCAGAGAAAGGCTTCTGAATAAGCAGAAATGGCCTGTAGAGAATAGTTGGCCTTGGATGTCCCCCAGGGTCTCGGGGCAAGGCCGGCAGTGGTGCCTGCGGGGTTGTCAGGACCTGCACTTGGACCAGGTGAAAGGCAGGTGGTGCCCTCAGGTGCACCGCTTGGCTGGAGGGAGGTAGCTCCCAGGGCTGGGGGAGAGGGGACGGGCAGATTTATACTCTAGGTAGCTTCTGAGGCCCAGGCCAGTGTCTCAGGCCCACTGCTTTGCTCTGCCCCAGATCCCAGCCGCAGCCTTCAGCTTGGTGACCAAGGATGGGCAGCCTGTGCGCTACGACATGGAGGTGCCAGACTCGGGCATCGACCTGCAGTGTACCCTGGCCCCAGATGGCAGCTTCGCCTGGAGTTGGAGGGTCAAGCATGGCCAGCTGGAGAACAGGCCCTAACCCAGCCTCCGCCACCGGCTCCACTCAGCCAGAGGAGCCGTCCTTCTCGGCACTCGATGCTGCCGCTGAGCCAGGCTCAGGCTGCTCCCGGGATCTCAGCAGTGGGACCAGGGCAAAGGGGGCGCCAGCAAAACGCCTCCTAGGATTTCCCACTTGCATCCTGCCTGACCCACCGAGAGAACACCCTGTGCCCACGTGAGGAGGAGAAAGAAGTCAAGAGGCCTCTTCCCGCAGGGAACAGAGAGGGCCTTCTCTGACCTGGTTCACACGAGCTGGCCTGGCCCTCTGGGTCAGTGACCACTTGTCAGGGGAGAGCAGTTTGGGGCCCGTGAGGGACCGGCTGGTGGGTGAGCCTCTCAGCCTCTACGCAGGTCTGAGGGCGTCAAGTGCCTAAAGACCCCTACCCAGGTCCAGCACGGCCAGGCGGCAGGTGTGCCCAGCCTTGGGTAAACGGGGCCTTCGACCCCCTTGCCTGGCCTGGCCACTCTTCAGACAGAGAGGGAGGGAGGAAGGCCTGACTGGGAAGTCTCCCTGGGAGAATGCACCACGTTCTTCAGGGTATTGCAATGCAGGTCCTGTGCTAAACTCAGTTTCAGCCAAGGACCAAAGAAGGTGTTTCAGTGATGTGGTTCTCAGTCCGCACGTTCGTGCCCCTTGGCTGCTGGCCACGCCTTCCCCAGAGCAGCAGGCGCTGGGCCCCGACTGCAGGCCCAGCACTGCCATGACTAGCTGGTACTCGGTCCCCTCATCCGTAAAGGTGAAGGGTGATGGCATGAGACCTCCCTGACAGGAAGTGCCTGGGGATAAGGATGAAAGACGGAAAAGAAAGCAGCAGGTGTAGGCGCTACTGTTACCCGAGCCACGGCTTCCAACATCTTGCACACCAGCTTCCCGAGACACAGCTCAGGCATCATGCCCACACTGACCCTGCCCTGCCCCAGGTTACGGGGGCACTGCCAGCTGCACTTTGCACTCTGATGACCTCAAAGCACTTTCACGGCTGCCCTCCAGGAGGGCAGGTCACTAGCACAAGCAGACTAGGAGATGGGGTGAAGGGACTCAAGTCTTGACCTGTCTCCACACATGTGATCCCTTCAAACCTCCAGATTTAAGATGAGCCCCCCCAATTTCTCTTCATTGCCCAGTCCAGCCTTTTCAGGGGGGAGCTGATCAGGACTCATGTAGCATTAATCAACTGTGAATCACTGGGAGTTGAGGGGCCTGCTAGTCTCAGCCCCTAGGGATGAGGGGGTATCTATCCCCTGAGATTCCTCCTTCGGAAATCTTGTCCCCAAGTCTTGCCAAGGTGCCCTCTGTCCAGCTATCTACAAGGAGCCATCCTGCTCCCCAGGGAGAGACCCCGGCCCCCAGTACATGAAGAACTGCAGGGTTCGAGTTGCAGGGAACTCTGTGAGCAATAAAGTTTGGAGTAATGACACGTATTCAGGCCCTGGCTCTCTCCACTCTCGCCTGCTTGCAAAGACTCAGATCCTAACAGCTGCTTCCCTTTGCCTTCATGGTGGGATCTTGTCAAGTCTGCCCTGTGTTTGGGGCAAGGATGGTTTTCAACCTTTGAGTGGGGCTGCCTTTCCCACCACTCCCAGTGGGTGCTTCCAGTCCCCCCTCTGAGCTACCCATCAAACCAGTTTGGCAAGATGCCCCACTGGTGGCAGCAGGGAAGTCCCTGCCAAACACTGCCAGGCCGAAGGGAGGAGGACAGCAAAGAAGAGAAGGCCCGGGCACTGACCAGGCATGGATAGTGGGGCATCCTGCAGGCCCAGAGCAAAGGCTGCCCCACCCACTGCTCCTGTCCTGAGGCCAGGCTCCAGGGAACTTAGTGGGGAGGGGGAGGAGAGCCTGGACTCCCAGCCCTCCAGCCACCTCCTGAGGCCTGCCTGTGATCAGGGGTGACTCCTCAGAGTGGGACCTTGGTCATGGGACAGGGGCCTGCCTGCGGGTGATGCCACCAGCACACAGGGCGTCTTGTCTCATCTGGTTCCACACCCCCTGAAGCTGTGCACGAGTGGGAGTGTGTGTGTGTGTGCACACGCGCGCAGGGACATGCCCGCCCACCTTGGGGTAAAGGTCAAAGGTTCCATGGGTTCTTGGAGGGCTCCTGGGTACACAGAGGGCAGCGGCCTTGGGCCAGAACAGGTGCAAAGGCCAGTCGGGGAGACCCGAGGCGTACCTCTGCCCTGGGCCTGCTCCAAGGAGCAGAGCTGCCTGGTCCCCAGACCGGGCTCCGAGGCCGAACAGCAGGTGGGGCCCGCTCCAGAGTCCGCCCCTTCAGGCCGCTCCTACCCACGCGCCGGAAATCCTGAGCGCAGTTCCCTGCCCACGGGACTCGCCGGGACGTCACAGAGGCAGCGACATCACAGGCACCGGCGCCCACAGCATCTCCACCGCCCCCGCCAAAGAGCACAGTGGAGGCGGAGGGGCAGCAGCCACCATCCCTCCCCGCCTCCCCCAGAGCCTCCCTGGTCGCCAACTCGGTCTGCATGGGGATGACAGGTGGGAGCGGGCGGGCGGCGGGGTGGGCGGGTGCGCAGG